TAGCAAAAATAATTTAGAAATGTCTGAAGAGTGTCTTTCCCAGGATGTTCCATCAATTACATGTTCCTCAATCATCTAGGATGTATTACAATGGCTTGGTGGAAGACCAAGTTAGGTGCTAGGATCTTATCTAAGGATCTTATGCCACTGAGCAGAAATTCATCTTCTATCAATTAGAGAGGATCAACTGTCAGGACCTAGGAAGTGGGCTTTGTCTCTGCTCGCCCTCTGAAACAATATCCCTCAGATGTCCATGTGTCCCCAATCCTGACCCTATTTAATTGAGTCCTTAAAATCTGGCTTTTCCCAGACCTTGGGGTGGGTGGGGATGGAGGCATTCTTATTCTAGATATTTGCTCTGTGTGATCTCCGTATTATTCTATTTTCAATTGTTTTGATGTTGTATGTCTCCCAGAGTTGGGCTGGAGTTGGACAGTGTTTTTTTATTCAGTTGTGTCCAATTCTTGAAGACTATCTAGATAAGTCCCTGCAGCTGTCTTGGCAAGGTATCTCAGAAGTGGTTTGCAATTGTCTCCTTCCTAGGGCTGAGAGAAAGTGACTGGCCCAAGGACACTCAGCTGACTCTAGCCAAGTGGAATTAGAACTCTAGACCTCCCAGTTTCTTGCTTGATGCCTGAACCACTACAACAAACTGCTTCTTGGGACAGCATATACATTTGATAAATGTACAGAAAAATACAAAGAGGACAGATATAGACATTTGGTTGTTTGTGTAATTGATATCATATCTTTAAGTGTTATTTACTTGTTTTAAATGTTTAAAACAATTTGTAATTCTCCCACAGTCATTGGAAATGGCATATAAGTTTAACTAATTATTACTATTATTAGTATTACAGTATTAGACAAAAAAACCCTGCTGGAATTAGTTAAACAAAAGAAATATGATTTAAAAGTTAAAACTGCATTAAAAACCGAGTTAAGAAATCAGCACAACAATGCCACACTAGATTGCCTTAGCAATAATAGTCTAAAAACTCATCTCCTATTGTCAATCTTAACAAATAAAACAGTAGATAAATTAATCCAACACATTAGCTGTTTTCATCTATCATTTTTCAAAGTGTTCAATGTAAATAAATGTTTATTGTTATACAGAAATATTTCACAAGAAGAGTTCTCCACTCCTTTACTCATTGCAGAATACCTTATGCCACCAGACTTGAAATTCTAGATCTAGAAAACCTAGAACTATGCAGCCTTCAGTCCGATCTAAGTATAGTATATAAAATAATACATTGCAATGTCCTACCTGTCAATGAATATTTCAGCTTCAACCATAACAACACAAGAGCAAACAATAGATACAAATTTAAGGTTAATCGCACCAAACTTGATTGCAGGAAATATGACTTCAGCAACAGAGTGGTCAATGTCTGGAATACTCTACCTGACTCTGTGGTTTCTTCCCAAAACCCCCAAAACTTTAACCTTAGACTGTCTACTATTGACCTCAACCCTTTCCTAAGAGGTCTGTGCCTACTGTCTCTACTATTGTTTCTTTTTATTTTTCTTATATGTATCCATTTCATGTGTTCATAACTATGTTTATATTTATACCTGTTATCTTATAATCGGAATTTATTGACAAATAAATAAATAAATAAATAATCCTCAGGTCAAAACAATGTAATATATCATAAGGTTCACTAAATAAAAATCAAAATAATAAAATAAAATGAAGTAAAATAAAAAAATAAAAGCAGTGTTGGAATCAAGTTTATATAAACTAAACTTACTTGTATTTTATAAATTGCTATTTCTTTGTTTATGCTGACCTCTAGTGGTTGAAAGAGATGTGGCATGTCAGTTGCACATAATTATAGAGCCATAATTTACCATGGTCTTGAGCATGCTATATACTGTATATGACAAGTATTAGTGCAAATTATTCTCAGAAACACTTTCTGCTGTGTCGTAAATAAATATTTCCCTATATCTGTTTTTAAACATTTAACTCTTGCAAAATGTTATTTTCTATCAAATAGTTTTGGTATGCAGTAACCTTTAAAAGTCACTGAATTTTCATCAGAAATCCAGTTTATGGACTAAATAACATCTACGTTTTACTTGATGGGAAAAAATACTTGCAGATATATTTGCATAAACCTTTAGGCTTTTATCCAGGATGGAGGAAAGTAACTATTAAATTATTCAAAGAAACAGAAGTAGTGAAAATTAGGACAGCGGCAGAAATATTTCCCTTTGCAAAGTCTGTTCTCGTCTCAAGTCATAGTAGCTGTTTTTCATCCAAGAGATCAGAAATATCCCAAGGAATGTCTGATTGTTGTTCTGAAGTTCTCAAGTTTTCTAAACTTGTTGGTGGCTAATAAGTTCAAATAAATCAAAGCAGTTCTTGATAGCTTTGATCCTTTGATCATGTTTTTCCGTATCTCTGTCCATCTGGCTTTCTTCTAATTTGAGGAAGACTTCTTCTGCAAGCACTTCTGTGCCCAAAATGGAGAATTTGTTAGTTTATCCTGATAAGGTGGGCAGGGTCACCTCATGCCCTAGTATCTTCTCATCCATATTGGCCTACATTTGCACATGCAATTGTTCTTATCCTCAGGAAGAAAAAGAAACACATACATCTTCCCCACCTCAAATGAACAGAAGGGGAAAAGAAAAAATATCCCTTTGATTTCCCCCAATATTGTTCAACTTACTTTGCACATTGTGTCCCTTATACGCCCCTTGAAGCTGCCTCTATTTCTGTGTGCTCCAATCACACAGACCGGGCAATTTGCAGCAATTTCTCCCCATCCCTGACAAATATTTTCTCTCAATACCTTTTCCTCAAACTGCCCTCTTAAACGTTTGCTTCATTTTCTGTCTGGTCACTTAGTAAATCTGAACTACTGCTGAATTACTAGTTGAGCTGCTTGAATTTATACCTCAGCAATATTTGGAGGGCCATAGATTCTCTAGCTCAGCCATAGTTATTAAAGGCTTGTGATGGAGACCATGTATTATGGAAAAACCCTAGAGGAAGCTTTATACCAGTGGACAATATACAGCAGTGAAACAAAAGAAGGAAAATATTCCAAATAGCCTTGGATATTGAGCTAGAAACAATGGATGAACACATTGCTGCTGATGATTAATTTACTAGCTATATACACCATTTGCCTGTTAATGGCTTTCAAGTACAAACAAAAGGAGTTCATTTTGGCATTCCAGCTAGGGTCAGAGGACTGTGAATAAACAGATCCACAGATGTTGCAAAAGGAAAAGAGAAAGGGTCAAACGATGGGCAACTATTAGGAAGTTATAAAATCTCATTCAATAATGAAGTTCATTTCCCCTTTTTTTTAAAAAAAAATTGCTGGTATTTCCTGTTTCTAGAACCGGTTTCTAAGGGTACTATTGAAATCAAACGTGTTATACAATGAAATAAGGTTTTTTTTCCTTCTCTCCCTTGGCTAAATCAATATGAGACACCTATTACAACCAATGTCTTTTACTTCTTGGGAATAGCTTGTACGATATCTATTCCCTTTCTGGCTTGAGGATAGGGAAGCCACACACACTCTACAAAACCTTGATCAAAATGAGCTTTGTTGCTGTAGACAATCTGACTGAAAGGTTACAGGCAACTTGAAAGCCTAATGTATTTGCAAATTAGCCATCAGCATTGTCTACTACATTTGTAAACGCCAACTACCTTGGGATAGTTGACCAAAATATATATTCCATTCAGGGACAGACCATGTGGGCCTGAGCTGTATGTGATTTGGGCAAAAGTGTTCTGAAGTGGCTGAAGATAGAAAAGAAGAAGGAAAGAGGAGATACATCATGCAGCGGCATCATGGTTGAAGAAAAAGAGGGAAGACAATGTCATGTGTATACAAGCACAGGCAGCAGCCGAGAAGTTTGGAAGAGGAACAGAACAATCTTCCAGGTTTCCAGTCCTTCCTCCATGAAAGTTTTGGAGAGGTTACTTTTCTACTTCAATGGGTGCTAAAACCTGTGTGCTTCTAGTTGAGATTGTGTGCTTCTAGTTGAGATAGTGAAGTGTTTTGTACTAATCCTACCATTGCTGGGTGGCATAACAATAGTATAAAACAGGGGTGTCCAACCTTGGCAACTTTAAGACTTGTGGATTTCAACTCCCAG